ATATATATATTAGTCAATTGATTACTATAGTGGGATCACACTCCTCAGCCTCCCTGGGAATGTCTATGCCAGGGTACTGGAGAGGAGAATTTGCCCGATAGTTGTCTCTACTCCATTCCTGTTTGTTAATGGCAGTGCTGTGTTTGACTGAAAGTGAGATAAATAACTGAAAATCTCTGATTGGTTAGAACAGTCCTGCTCAAAACCTTTTAGAAGCTAATGTCTCTGCACTGCTGTCAGTGCTGTTCAATGAGTCTAGGTCACAGAAGGTCTTCGACATCACCTCTCCACATTAAGACACGTTTTGGAGCATATTTATACAACAAAAATATCTGAAAAAAGTTATATATCATAGCTTTCAAGGGTGATCAACTTGTCAATCTCAAAGCTGGTGTATTATAAAGTGTATTGTTAAGTCAATCATGGGCAATGAACTCACCCCAAACAGGCAGTTGACAGATTAACAGTATTGCTTCAGTTTACAAACATAGTACCAACTCCCTACAGTGGTTGAGAATCACTCACAAAGGGCTACTGTGGGAGACCAAGAGGGTTAAGTTACTAGATTAGTCTCAATCTCATCTGTACATCATTTTTATTATATTTTACCTCACTTTACTTTAACTGTTATTTTACTTTACTTCAATTATTCATCAGTATTTGTTATACTTGATTGTATTGTTGTATAATAATCAGTCTGTTACTTGGACAGCTGCCCAGGCTGGATGGAGACATTGCGACAGTGATAGTGTATGTCGCCTGTTACTTTTAGTCACCTTAATGGAATTTTGGTCTCAATACAATGGTGTCTATTGTGCTGGAGGTCAAAGAATTCACAGTGATTGATTTACTGTGAATGTATTTGAGTGTGAAATTTTGCCTTCGTCAACTTTTGATCCATCACATAGATTGTATATCACAAAGTTCTGACATGTTACTGTTTTGTGAAGAAGAGTTTTCTATAATGGAAAAGAGTGTGGACCTCAATCCAATAGAGACGCTGTGGAATGAGCTTGAGAGAGCCATTCACTCTAGATGTCCTAAGAACATGGCTGAGCTGAAGCAGTTCTGTGAGGAAGAATGGTCCAAAATTCCTCCTGAACGTTAACCAAGTCTAAATACAAAATCCTTTTGGAATTGTATTTACTAAAGAAAAATATATTAAACTACAGTACAACTACAATTACTACAGCTATGACACCACTAAAGTACTAAACTACAATTTAAAGTAGACATATGGAATCAATTAGGGTGGGACAATAAAAATCTAAACCTAGAAAAATTTATATATGTATTTATTGTTACTGACTCAGTAATTAGCAAATGAACAAAAGTTTCAAACTTACAGGGACTATTAACAAACCTGTGCTCTGAATAAACTAAGCACTAGTGACATGGGTTAACTCAGCTAATCTGACTATTCGTGCTTCCAGAGCAGCTTTGTCTGTGTCAAATATCTGTATCAACCCAAATCTGCATATCTTAATGAAGGAAAAAAGTTTACCTGTGGCAGGAGAACCTACAGACAAGGATACTATTGTTAAATATTTATTTCATTACACTTTGTTATTACAGTACACAGAGGACAAAAATTCTTATTTGTTCTTCTAGTAAAGCAGCGAACTAAGAAAAGTATATTTACACTCTTGTACCATTTTGACAAGAGGTTATTAAAAATTAATCTTCAAAAAACAATAACCCTGGGCTATAGGTGGTTGCTCTGGCAAATCATGCAGGGAATTGTTTTAATTATAAACTGTTTAAAGAGCCCGTGGCATGCTCATTTTCCTCATTTCCAGCCATTTAATGTTTAATCTTGGGCACCTCTAGATTAGCTTTTCACCCCTCATAACTCTAAATAGTCTGTAATTATTTCAGAATGATAAAATTAGAGAGCCTCTTCCTAAAAATGAGAGGACAGTTTTTGAACGCACACAACTCCTGCTGTCGGTGTTGTGTGGGCAGCACAACCAACTGCAACAGCATTAATTAAGTTGAATTCCTCCTCCATGGATAGGTAAACAACGGTATATGTACCGATGAAAAGATCACACTCCTCAGCCTCCCTGGGAATGTCTATGCCAGGGTACTGGGGAGGAGAATTTGCCCGATAGTTATCTCTACTCCATTCCTGTTTGTTAATGGCAGTGCTGTGTTTGACTGAAAGAGAGATAAATAACTGAAAATCTCTGATTGGTTAGAACAGTCCTGCTCAAAACCTTTTAGAAGCTAATGTCTCTGCACTGCTGTCAGTGCTGTTCAATGAGTCTAGGTCACAGAAGGTCTTCGACATCACCTCTCCACATTAAGACACGTTTTGGAGCATATTTATACAACAAAAATATCTGAAAAAAGTTATATATCATAGCTTTCAAGGGTGATCAACTTGTCAATCTCAAAGCTGGTGTATTATAAAGTGTATTGTTAAGTCAATCATGGGCAATGAACTCACCCCAAACAGGCAGTTGACAGATTAACAGTATTGCTTCAGTTTACAAACATAGTACCAACTCCCTACAGTGGTTGAGAATCACTCACAAAGGGCTACTGTGGGAGACCAAGAGGGTTAAGTTACTAGATTAGTCTCAATCTCATCTGTACATCATTTTTATTATATTTTACCTCACTTTACTTTAACTGTTATTTTACTTTACTTCAATTATTCATCAGTATTTGTTATACTTGATTGTATTGTTGTATAATAATCAGTCTGTTACTTGGACAGCTGCCCAGGCTGGATGGAGACATTGCGACAGTGATAGTGTATGTCGCCTGTTACTTTTAGTCACCTTAATGGAATTTTGGTCTCAATACAATGGTGTCTATTGTGCTGGAGGTCAAAGAATTCACAGTGATTGATTTACTGTGAATGTATTTGAGTGTGAAATTTTGCCTTCGTCAACTTTTGATCCATCACATAGATTGTATATCACAAAGTTCTGACATGTTACTGTTTTGTGAAGAAGAGTTTTCTATAATGGAAAAGAGTGTGGACCTCAATCCAATAGAGACGCTGTGGAATGAGCTTGAGAGAGCCATTCACTCTAGATGTCCTAAGAACATGGCTGAGCTGAAGCAGTTCTGTGAGGAAGAATGGTCCAAAATTCCTCCTGAACGTTAACCAAGTCTAAATACAAAATCCTTTTGGAATTGTATTTACTAAAGAAAAATATATTAAACTACAGTACAACTACAATTACTACAGCTATGACACCACTAAAGTACTAAACTACAATTTAAAGTAGACATATGGAATCAATTAGGGTGGGACAATAAAAATCTAAACCTAGAAAAATTTATATATGTATTTATTGTTACTGACTCAGTAATTAGCAAATGAACAAAAGTTTCAAACTTACAGGGACTATTAACAAACCTGTGCTCTGAATAAACTAAGCACTAGTGACATGGGTTAACTCAGCTAATCTGACTATTCGTGCTTCCAGAGCAGCTTTGTCTGTGTCAAATATCTGTATCAACCCAAATCTGCATATCTTAATGAAGGAAAAAAGTTTACCTGTGGCAGGAGAACCTACAGACAAGGATACTATTGTTAAATATTTATTTCATTACACTTTGTTATTACAGTACACAGAGGACAAAAATTCTTATTTGTTCTTCTAGTAAAGCAGCGAACTAAGAAAAGTATATTTACACTCTTGTACCATTTTGACAAGAGGTTATTAAAAATTAATCTTCAAAAAACAATAACCCTGGGCTATAGGTGGTTGCTCTGGCAAATCATGCAGGGAATTGTTTTAATTATAAACTGTTTAAAGAGCCCGTGGCATGCTCATTTTCCTCATTTCCAGCCATTTAATGTTTAATCTTGGGCACCTCTAGATTAGCTTTTCACCCCTCATAACTCTAAATAGTCTGTAATTATTTCAGAATGATAAAATTAGAGAGCCTCTTCCTAAAAATGAGAGGACAGTTTTTGAACGCACACAACTCCTGCTGTCGGTGTTGTGTGGGCAGCACAACCAACTGCAACAGCATTAATTAAGTTGAATTCCTCCTCCATGGATAGGTAAACAACGGAATATGTACCGATGAAAAGAGATGTGTAACACTCTAAACAAAGCGGGTAATTGAGAAACGCTATATTTTAACTGGCATAATGCTGACATAGTAAGTTCTCCAGCCTTACAACAATTCTCTCTAACATTACAGAAATTGACATGTTTTTTTTAAAACTTACTGTTATGTCCCACCGAGTAGTGGAAACATCGCTCCATTTCAAGTAGCTCCAAGGTCTGTAAATCCAATAGGTGGTCGCTGTATCTTCCCCCACACGACCACATACAGTCCCAAAGTAGTGAAATTAATTCAAAAAGGTAGCATAGCACTGACAATAACATGATGGATTGTTAATCCACTGGTCAACCCGTAACATACTACATGCAGCAGACACACTGGTCTCAAGCGGTCAGAACAGGTACTGTGCTCTGGGGGAATTCACCGCTGCGAGGGCTTCACTGGCTGGCTGATCGTAGGTTAGACCCAGTCAGGTAAAACGGTAAGTCCCTGTGTAGGAACATTCCTGGACATGCAGTAACCACAAGTTCTGTGTTTTTCTCCACATCCTCTGGTCACAGTGCAGCAGCAGGAGGTAAAAATATATCCACAAAATCAAAAAAATTCCTCTTTCACAAAGGCACCGGTAGATGTCAAGCAAACTCACATGAACGCACAACTGCCTGGAGATCATAATCATTCAAGGAGATCCTTAAACTATCATGTAATACTTTATCTTATTAGAAAAAAGTCTCATGAGTGCAAGTTTGCGAGACGTATAAACCGTTTCTTCTGCATAAAAGTACCATATGTACATCTCATTTTTAGGTCACATCTAAGACGATAATTTGCCGTTGTAACATTGTAGTCAGAAAACAAGGAAAAGCATGCCATGGGCTCTTTAACAGTTTTTTATTTATCTTTTTTTTTTTACTATTTTCTTACATTTTATAAACTGCCTCTGATATATAAAAAAATCTTACTTACGGGCATGTGGTGAAGATGAGTCTATGGAAAGATGAAAAAGAAAAAACATCTCAGCAATTTTTAAAAATGTAGAAATATAGTATTGAGATGAAATTTTAACATTTAATCAAACACCTTTTTGGTTTCTGCTGTCTCTGTTTTCTAACCTTATGTTTCTTGTTGACAGGTAAAAAGACTTCCAGGAGGATGACAAGTTGGTTTGACAAATGCCCGTCTGATGACAAAGAACCATGCACTGCAGCTTCCCTAATCTTCTCTATGGAAATCACACAGCACTGTCACCCATAGTGGGTCAGACAGTGCCAAATACTTGGTATAGTCAGTTGGGAGCATTATATGTTTTTAGCACGAATTGAGAATGTGGTTTAAACTCTTGATTTGAATATAATCCTAACTCATACCTGGGTATTTTCCACAGCCATGGTATAACTAGCAATCACCTAATCCTACAAAGTTTCATGTATCATACCATGTGTGTTTGTTGTCAATGTTGGTGTTGTTGCCGATGTTCTTGTGTTTGATGATGCTGTTGCCAATGTTGTTGTTGTTGTTGTTGCAACAGTTGCTGTCATTGATGGTGTTGTTGTTACTGTTGTGTCTGATGATGTTGTTGCCATTGTTGTTGTTGTTGCTGCTGTTGTGTCTGATGATGTTGTTGCCATTGTTGTTGTTGTTGCTGCTGTTGTGTCTGATGATGTTGTTGCCATTGTTGTTGTTGTTGCTGCTGTTGTTTTATCTGAAATTTCAGACAACTCTTACAATATGGTCTTTGCAGACACTAAATGGCAATATACCTTTAGGTTTCTTAGTAAAAAGGAGCAGAAACATGGTGGATTATACAATATTTGTAGCGGCTCAAGAATAAGTAAAACATGGTGTAAGGCAGGACTTGGAGGAAATGTGTGAATTTGTGGCTACTGTATGTATGTGTTTATTGTATAGTTGTTCATGCCATCAGCCCTTCAAAATCCATATTTCTTTTACCTAAATACAATTATCTTTATTTCTTGGTTTCAATACTTGAGTTTAAATTAAAGATCACTTAGGCAGTGTTTGGCTCCTCCTGTCTGACTGACACTTTGTGGGCTAATCTGAGAATAGCAGTTACAATTTTATAGGATAAACATATACATTTACTGTAGGACTTAGGATTTTCCCACCATCAAAATACAGAAAAAAAACTGTTTCCTGCTGTTTGTGGTAGGAAATTTCTGCCAGAAATTGATGCAAAAAAAGGGTTGGTAAACAATTTAATACAGGAAACAATTTATGAAGCTGAGCAACAGCTGAGGAGTTTCAGTTTGTGAGTTGCTGAGTGTAAACAAGCAGTGATACTGTTGTGTTACAGCTGTAGACTGCCCTAAAGTAACATTAAAAACAGCGTCACCACAGCCACTGACAAAAGGAACAGCATGCGGAGATGGAGAACTGCCTTCATGCAACAGCAAGCACAATTTCATCATCATTTAAATTGTACAATATCAACACGCACTTCATAAGCACCTCTACACAAAATGTGCGACTTACCAGTAGCTGATTTGTTGCAAATGTGCTCACATAAAAGTTCTTAAAAAAGATGATAACAATATTAAAGTCAGTTAAGACAATCAACTGCCAACACTATATATAAAAAAAGAAAAAATTTGAATATGTGTTTTGGTGGCAGCACACACGTTCACACAGGCTGATACAACAGCAACAAGTACAGATACACATACCACACTGGTACACACACCTCAACATGTTCATCACACATCAGTCACAGACACACTCAGGTATACTCACCGTATTCACAGCCAACTGTAATGCAAGAAAGAAAGCGCATTAGGAATTTTAAAAACTACAGCTTTAGCAATAATTTCACTACAACTGTGAAGACAATAATTAGTCAGAAATTGACAGATGTGTTTTCCAAAGGTGGCTCAGTCAGCAGCACTTTTAAGTGTTAACAAGTTGTATTTTGTGCCTGCTGATCTCACATCAGATATTATTTACCATAATATATAAAGTCTTAGAATAAAATGTAGCTCTTTGAGGAAGCCATGACATTGGCCACGTAAGACCATGATTTTTGTGCACAGTAGCAACAATAGCAAAGCCTCAGCCCCACCAGGAAAACAAGCCAACAGTGACTGTCAGAGTAGTATCATCAATACCTATATACTCAGGAGGGACACTGAATGCTCTCGCCATCAAGCACAGAAAGAGATAGTAAGAGATATTGTGAGAAGATCCCTCTTGAGATGTTACATTTATGGTGTGTTTAATCTGAGGTGGAAAAAAAACACAATAATTAATTCAATCCTTCAGTTTAACACTGGAAACATGAAACATAACAGTAGAGAATCATTCATTAAATCCACAGTCAAAAAACAAAAAAACAAAAGCAAACAAGATTATTTGAATAAAATAATAGTAAATAGTTTGTATCCTCACTGACCTCATCACTGTCGATGCAGTCGTCGTATATTTGATATTCTGGGGCATCCTTATCCATGAGGCTAGAGTTAATTATGTCTTTTAGATCCTGCATTGGTAAAATGACATATTTAATGTTATGATTTTACATAGTTTATTTACACAAAGCTTATTTTTTTCATACTGTTTCAGGAGTACGTACTGGTTTGTCCTTAGGTATTTTCAGGGTGATAACTCGACTCAGATTCTCTGCTGTCTATAAAGTGGATCAGAGAAATAGACAAACTGAAGATTATTATTAATCATTAATCCCTGGATTATTGTCAGTTCATGATTATCGTATCTTTCATGTTGAAACACTGTGGACAGGGGGTTACCAAAACATCATTAGCCAGAGTCCTAAGGGTGCTCCAGAGGAGAGCCACTGTATATACACATGACACTGAAGAATGAATCAGTTCATATTTGTGGTTTTTTATATTATGTTCTATGTTATGAAACTAGAGAGTTTTTGCATTGGCATTCTCATTTGTATTAAAACAGTGACAAGCTGTATCTAATGTTGCTATAGACACCCTGATTAAAAGTGTTTTGGTATCCCTATTCAGACATACGTATGAGTAAGTACATGTTTCTGTCACTTTCTCATTTTGCAAATGAGTTGGAAAAACAGAAAAATCAAGCAAGTGACCACTGAACACAAAAATGATGAATGTATACCAATTTGGTCAGGTTAAAATTGTCGTAACAGCCTTCCATTGACAGGTCAACCAGTAACACCTAGCAGACACAAACAGAACAGCAGCATTGAAAGTCAGTTTTAAACAGTCAGGGGGCATCTTTTACAGCTCACTGTTAGTTTGTTTACACCTCACAAAAGCATGAAACCACTGGTGATGACTTTCACATAAGGAATAACACACATCATATATAGATTACCTTGATTGCTACACTTAAATACAACACTCTGAATAAAGCTGTGTCCTGTGAACGGCACAGGCCAGAGCCCCGAGCTGCATAGGTGACACTTACGAAGAGGAGCAGACAGGTCACACATCTCCATGATTTCATGTTGCCACAATGACCGTCCAGACTTGCACTGCAGAGTAGGAAGCATAAAGCAGGGAGGAGACAGTGTTTTTTGGGGGGTTGCTCAGACATACACAACTTTCAGTTTATGTATACCATAAAATAAAGTCTGATGTTTGTGTAAGAGGATTATAGACAGGAAACAAACACCCTCTGCACCACTACTCTGCTGGATGACTTCCTTTTAGTAGTCGGTGTATTACAGACTGTCGGTACTCAGTGTTCACATAGAGATCAGTGACAATATAAAGGAAAAACCAACATAAATTATTATGCTGTCTTTTAAATTAATAACACCAGCAGTGATCAAACCTGCATGACTACTGTAAAGTCAAAATGACAATTGATTATCTGGGTTTGTTGGCTGCTCCTTTCTGCAGGCCGACAACTAAAGGACGACCAGGTTACGAGTGACATACTCAGCCCGCTGAGATCTACAGTCTGTTAACACACATGTGAACTGGTTTGTTACTTTAGTCTTTTATTGTGAGGTGGTTCTTCTACTGTGCTGACAAATTCAATACAGTGACAGATTAAGCTGATTAGTACAATCGCACAAAATGTAAAAATAAATAATGTCCAAGATAAATCTAATTGAAAAATGCATAAGCAGGAATCACATGAGAGTCTGAGAAAACCTCTGAAGGACATTTTTAATGGGAGTCCAAATATGAGGACCTTGCCAGTTACAGTATAATAAGCCTTCTTCCTTTTTTTTTTTTAAAACAGTACAGTAATATTACCTCAAACTTTGTGTGATCATATTCTATGTCACTCCGAGCAGGAATCAGATCACAGTTGGAGCAAACCTCTAAAGGAAATCTTTTTTTAAAGTCCAAATATCAACAGTTACAGTTTAACTAGTGCGGATTTCCCCTTTAATTTTCTAAACACTGTACAGTAATAATATGCTAATGCACACACTGTAGGGTTTGACATAAATCCAATTGAACATCCAAGTGGCTAAATGGTCACCCAGTCTTAAAAGGTCCATTTAGGCCGCTCCCTGCACCCGTACCGTAGTGGCAACAAACAATCGGACGGCGGCTCACTGGACCCCAGTCTGCAGGGATCACTATAGATTGGAAGCCGCCTCCGGTGACTCTCCGCAGAAATATCCAAGATTTATTTTGCCCATTTATCTACGAAATCAAGACTCGCCAACGCCCCAAACGGCAAGTCTGCATTGCCCACTAACCTCAGGTGCAGTTGCCCACCATGCATATTAAACTAGTGAGTGAACGACTTCACCAAGTGGCGTGGCTCCTCTGTCGTAACAGTCCAAAGTATCTGTTACTCTGGTGCAGCGAAAAAAGGTGAGCACTGAAAGAAAGACGTGTACGTGTAAAGATCGACCGGACGTGCTCTGATGCTGGCGATGTTCGTCTGCAATTATCTCAGCAGCATAGAATCGTGTCGCGACAGCATTACTTTCACTTTCACAATGATCAGCCTCCTCCTACATTTATCAAATATATCATTCCCGGAGTTTCCAGGAGATAAAGTCGTTTAATGATGACAAGAGCGTCAAATGTCAAACGGTGCTGCACTGTTCGCAGATCTCAGACCTTACCTGTAGGCTATGTAATGGTGGCAATAAGAGGTCTCCTGTGGTGAAATAATAGGTGACTATGACCTACTAAAACCCACTGAAACCAGAATGTTTTGAAGGTATGCCAATTAGCCAGTGGTCTGGTGGGTAAAGTACCAAAGCCTCCTCAAAAACGTCTCTATTGTCAGTTATTCAGATTAGTATTATAGAGATTATTTTAGATTTATGATTTATATTTACCAAAACTGAACTGGTGTTACAACTTGCAACAGTCCCAGTTCCACCAGTTAGGTATATGATAGGAGCCATATGATCATTTCAGTGTTTCGACATGACCCCATCAATCCCACAAAGTAGGAACAGGTGCATGCAAATCCTATAAAGAAAAAAACTGATTTTGAGGTAATAAAGTAACTTTTTTCACCTTACACCATATTTGAGCCTGATCCACTTAAATCCACGCTCAGTAATTAGTCCACAAAATAACACATAAATGCAGCGCATTAGCCACGATAAATGAAAATGACCCTGCCCATGACCCGATGACGTTATACAGTACACGCTATGTAGTTTTACATACACACTGTACATACATACATGCTTTTAGGCTCAGTGGCCTAAAACTTGAGAACCATCAAGAAAAAATAAATAAAACTCAAAAATAGAAAAAACCTGTGCATGGATTAAGGCTGTTGATACAGATGATTCTTCTAATAAAATGTGTGTAAACTACTTTTTCTGCTCAGATTTGGTAAGTCTGTCTGCTTGGATTTGGCACAGTTCAGATCAGCCCAATCCTCTGGCCCCTCCCTAACCATGATGCATATCACAAGAAAAATGTATGACATTGTTTGCAACTTCCTAGTTTTCCGCATAAATTGCTCATGAAATGTGATCTGATACTGTTTTTATTTATTTTACTGTTTTTTATTGAACACACACATTAAACATACAAAGTGATTGTTGAAAAAATAACAACTGTTTTAATAACTGTTTGAACCACCTTTGGTAGCAATAACCTCAAGCAGGTGCTTCCTGTAGCTGTAGATTAGACTTGTTTACGTTCAGGAGGAATTTTGGACCATTGTTCCTCACAGAACTGCTTCAGCTCAGCCATGTTCTTTTCTGACACTCTTCAGCTGCGCCTCCTTTGTCACTCCCTATTTATACTCGGCTTTACCTTCACTCCCTTGCTGGTTCTTTCTAGTTGTTAGCCTTCGTTCCATGTCGGATTATATCTTTTGTCTCCCGTTTTTCCACGTCTTGTTTCTCATAGTTCTAGCGTCTCCTGTCACTTCTCCTGGATCTCTCCTTTGGACCTGGACTCCCTCAGCTCCACCTACCTCTTCCACAGGTTGATGCACAGTCTCCTCTCTGCTACTCCACAGTCA